TAAATGTAATTGCAAGTATTCGTGGGGAGTCATTTCTCATTGATGTTGTATCCTTATGAGAATGCAATCATCAAACTGTAAGTCAGACATGCATTCGAGCTGTAACTCATGTGGATATTGCATTTGAGGATATTACTGTCTTTGTAACAGATTCTGTAGCCTATTGCAAAAAAGCTCATAAGGAAGTGTTGTTAAATGTCTTTGTTAACAGTTGCCATGTGTTGTGCTTAGCACATATTTTCAATCTTGTTGATGAAGTATTTCAACACTGGCCAGCATTTAATGTTACCCAGCTCTCTACATTCATCATGTCAGCCTTTTTTAAAAAAAATCGACTTGAAAGTTCCTTGCTAAAGGAACAAGAGAAACTACCCCCTGTACCAGTAGCAACCAGATGGAATTCCTGGTTTAATGTGGCCAAATATCACTCATAAGCAAGAAAAGAGTCATGGCCTTGCAGTAGATAGGATTTTAGAATTAGTAGATGATGGTCAACTACATCATGTCTCTTACCATAATTTGCACCTAAATCAGAATTTTATAAATGAGAACTACACTCGTTTAATTACAGCTTTGACAAACTTAGAAGAAACTAAGTTTCTGCTTCCATGTGTTGTATATAACAAGATGGAGGATGTAAAACAGTATTTGCATATTGGTACATCAAACTCAATATTTGACCTAGCAACTGATCATCATCTGTCTGAGCTAGAAAACACAGAGAGGAAGAGAGTTATCTCAAATTTCCAAGATTTTTTCAGCACATCTTTTTCAAAACTGAATAAATACCTGGATACCTACCCTCTGTATAACTTACAAGACAGCTACCCTGTATATGCCATGATTTAAACAGTTTTGTAGCCATCAAGGACTTGTAATGTCCTTCTACTGATCTTTTTGAAGAATTTCAAATGTATGTGAATTACCAAGATGATTTACCGAATCCTTTTAATATCCCATCATTTTGGAATGCAAATAAGAGCAGATTTCCTCATCTGCAACAGACTGCCAATAAGGTCATATGGATGCCTGTTACCAGCATAGATGCTGAACATTCATCTTCTCAATAAAAATTTACTCAATAAACAACATGAAAGTCTTACCCCTGAGAACACCAAACAACTCACAATGTTATATTACAACGGAGATTTAGAGAAGAGATTTAAAGATTAAATATTTCCCAAATTAAGAAATTAGCAATTTTAAATTTGAGCAATATTTCAAGTTGGGATAAGTTGTTTTATTTAAATTTTGAATTAATATGTCTATTTTTTTTTTCATATTTTGTTGCAAAGATTCAGTTATGCTTAAATTACTGTTTTGTAAAATTTTAGTCAAAATGTTTTACTTTATTTAGATAATACTTTATTGAGATTTAAGTTATTTGCTGTTGATACTTTAAATGTGATTTTTATATTATGAATCAATAATTATAAATCAATCTAAATCCTTTTACTTAAAAAAACAAAAACAATTTGAATGTGTTTTGAATTTGTTCTCAAAGAAGGAAGTTCTGATTAAAAGTTCTACCTCAAAGATATGCACTGTAACATTTCATTGTTTTATTGTCTAGTCATGTTACATGTTTTTTTTTATTTTTACATATCATTTATTTTTGGACTTGGATTTTAACATTTAAAAAAAGATTTATAAATATTTGCTATTTCTTTATATGTAATAAAATTTTAAATTATATTTTTGTTTTCAATTTTAATAATAATTATAGCATATTGTATTGCAATTTTCTCATAAAATACTATAAAAATGGAAAAAATGAAATTTCCCAAAAGTAAAAATGGAAAAAAACAGAATTTACTAAAAGTGGAAATGGAATCAAGGAAAATTTGAAATGTAAAATTGGGGGCTTTACCCATCATTAATGGAAAGAAGGATAACAGCTATTGGACTTGAGAAAAATTTTCCTTAAAAATTATTTTAAGAAACATTTGATAATTTTCAACTGAAATTAGTACTGGTTGTTTGATCAATGAATGCCAAAATGTTCCCTTGTATGGAAACGGCTAATATTACTATTAGAAATGCAGAGAACAGATACTACACTTTGATCCCAGCCCAACTTGGGGCAATGCATTCTAGTTTCATTTTGGGTTTGTGGCAGTTCACTTGATATTTGATTGATTCATTCATTTTCTATGGCTTATCAACACTTTGCAGATTATTTAAAGCCTAAAGATATTTTTAGATTGTAAGAATGTTTTCATTCTTTTTTTCAGTGAGGAGGAAGAGATAATGATTTAGTGTTACAAGTTTTACTAATTAAAGCATAGCTGGGGGGGAGAAGAGGTGAATTTCTACCTTTCCCAAGGGTATTTGCATATAAGTGAATATAACAAACCCAACTGGAATGGAAGCTGAGCTCTTCAATTATCAATATTGAGTCATTATCCATTACACGAGCCACACATCTAAGATTACAGCACCTGGTAATCTCAAGCAGTGATCTGTCTAGTTACTGACCGGGGTCTTGTGTAATCAGCTTCAGAAATTTAAAGAAACTTTGGTTTCTGTATTTGGTATAATTTTAGCTTATCTAATTGAAGTGAGTATAAGATTTATTTGTTTTATTTCCATCAGACTTGCTACATTATTTATTTATTTTTTTTTTTTTACAAAAAAAGTTTTAGAGTGAAATTCACCAACAAAAACATAACTTAGGAAATTTGAAACTTTATATGTTTTAATCAAAATTTAATTTATTCTTCTTTATAAAATGTTTAATCATAAAAGCAAATGCAGAAATCTTAAATTTTTAATTTGTTTGTTTGTGTAATCTGTATTTGCTTTGAACATATAAAAAAAGTATATTTGCCACAATTCTTATATCATAATCTAACTTTTTTGCAAATTTAAAAAAAAATTGATCTAAACAAAGTAGTATATTCAAACCAAAAAATGTAATTTGATTTGAAGAAATAATTTATTAACCTTTACTTAGCCATCTGCATTATTAACATTACTTCCCTTTCCACTGTATTCTTTTTCAAGGCCTTGCAATTGTAGCAACCATTATTGTTAATTTCCCTCAAAGTTGTTTTCTGTTGCCATAGTAGGATATGACAACACAACTATGAAATTCAAACACACTAATGTTCAGGGATCAGAGTCACCTTCAGAGACAGGATGTACAGCAAATGAAGTCACATACAGAGTGATAAAGGTTTATTGGATTTTTAGCCTTTCTTAACAAATCTTACAAAGTCACTCTAAAGTTAATTTTAAAATGTTTTGTTATATTTCATCTTTGATAGAGATTTTTCTTCCTCAATTCTGTTTTAACAGAGAAATTTATTTAAGAATATCATTGTCATGTAAAGTTAATTTAATATTTTTCTCTTATCATACTGTTAATCATAATAACAAATATATTGATGATAAAATATAACTTTTTAATGTGTAATTTGTGTTTTTCTTTCAAAAAGGTATTTTAAAAACAATATGTTGCACTTTAGCTTATGATTAAAAAACAAAACAAAAAATATCAAAACTTCTTACTTTCCTCACAAAATTTCTGAAATTCAAATATTTTGAAATAGGCCTCAAGTTCTGCCCTTATGTACACCATGAATTGGCCTGTAATATAGAATGCCATGAAGAAATCCTTCACAACTAGTTGCCACTGAAGGCTAGAAAGCCTAGACTATCAGGTTATTCACCATATAAAAATGCTTATTTTTTTATACTAATTTTCACCCAATACAAAGCCCAAAAGCCATTTAAGGTAGAGGCTTACTGTGTTGTATTGTATGAACTTAAAAAGAGCAAGTGAAGTTCATGGGGCTATGACAGAAAGATAATGGCTAACTCTAGACTTGAAGAGGTCAAGATTGTTGTGAATGGAAAAACACAAAGGAATGAAAAGCCTTTAAAAGTAACTGGAATCCCAATCCTAAACAGGGAAAACCCTTTACTCCTGTTCAAAAGGACTGCAGAGGAATGTGAACTGGATGATAGCAAAACCTATCTGCTTCTATTGGAAGAAGAAAAAAAAAGTTAATAGGTAGTAAATAATAAGTTCAGAGTTTTAGGTAGAGTTATTAGAAGTATAGAATTGAGGTAGATTTTAGAAGGAACCAGAAACCCAATGCTAAACAAGAAAGAAGGGATAAACCTCTACTCCTGTTCAAAAACCAGAATTTGGGTAGTAGCCAGTCAAGGAGAACAAATGAATTCAAAAACTAAAGAGGAAGGAATAGGGAGCCATTATAGTGTAGCAGGATTGATTGTATGTTTGGGTAAATATTTAGGCACCATTATGTTGTGGGAATCAACATTTTGAAGAGTAAATATTTACAAGCTCCTGGAAAATTGATTCCACAAATGATATTGGCAGACTCAACATGAGTCCCAGTAAAAATAAGTATACAAAAGAATATCAAACAAACAATGCGTGTATTTACAAAATGAATTACATGTGATAAAAGGAATAAAACATGAAACTAGCTATAAGAATGTGTGTGTGTGTGTGTGTGTATGTGAGAATACACAAAGTCAAACTATGAAATGAACATGCTCAGTTGCACTTTCCCCCCCCCCAGATGTGACTGCATCTTATAGCCAGAATTAAAAAGAGACTAGGGATATAAATGCATGCCTTTATATAAGCTTAAGGAGTGCCCTCTAGAGACAGTTTTTTAGCAAAGTGGGATAACCCACAATAGCACCTTTTGCAATTCATAGATTAAAACCAAAAAAGGGAATCTGTGGATGGCTGTAATCATTTACTTCCTGATTGGACAGGGCATAAAAAAAAAAAAAAAAAAAAAAAAAATAAACCCCTAATTCCAGAAATTCAGATGGATATTGATGTATCAGTATCTCTCCCACAGCTGTTTTTTGTGAATGCTAAAACAAAGAGATTGACATTAGTAATCATTAAAGCTATGAAGAACAAAAGAAAGAAAAAGAAAAAAAGATTTACCATTTATGTTGATAATAGCACATGTGATGTGTTAATGAATCGACTGTTTGTGAGAGAACAGCTAGCACTGGACAACTTTAGGTGTAGGCGTGAAGTAGTACATGGCCATCAGTACAAAATAGATGAGAAGTAGAGCTGATCCCTGAAAGTAGTTACTGCGTCCATCTTGCAAAGTATAGTTCATGACTATTACAGCAAAGATGACGGCAAACATGTGGACGTCACTAAAAATCATGTACAGTCCAAATGGATAGATAAGGTTGATGAGGATCAAGAGGGGGACCTGTAAGAGGCAGCACTGGATTGACGTGTTGATGGCAATCTCAATTCCCATTGCCACATTGTTTTGTAGTGCAAACTGGATCCCGTTGACAACTTCAGGAAGTTCCGGCAAAATAGCAATCAGAGTGACCCCAATAAAATATTCAGACATTTTGAGTGACTCCATCAAAGGTTGCAGATTGTTAGCCATTATATCCGCCAAAAGAGAGATCAGCACCGTGCTGATAAATAAAATGATAATGCATTTAATTCTTGACCACTGAGGAGCACCATGATGGTGTCCACGATGTGCTGACCCTTCCTCTGCCATTTGATCATAAAATTCGTGATAGACATGGCCAAAATGGGTCTTCATGCTGAAAATCAAACCGATAATGTATGAAATGGGAAGAAGAAGAGCACAGGTATATACCAGGGGCAAGATGTGCTTGTCGTAAAGAGTAGTATCTCCATCCAGACCGAACAGGGACTGGCTACATTGGGAGCACTGCATTCCAACAGCTGAAGAGTTTGAAGAATCGCCTGAGCTGCCGTTTATGGGAATCCAAGTTTCAACTTTTTCACATTTGGAGCAGTGGAGATCTCCATAAATCTCGGAGAACAAGGTTGGGGCAAAAACGCCAGCGACCGAAACAAACAGCAATGAAGATCCGACACTTGTTGAACGGGGATTGAACCTTTGTGTTTGATATTTTAACCCCCCGATGACCATACACAAGCCAGGAATCAACAACATGGTAGCCAAAATGGTGCCAGCAAGGGCAGACTTAACCAGTTCAGGGTAGCATGTAGAATTTTCCTCCTGTCCTTTTCTTAGAGTTATTACGTAAAGGATTACCTCTACTATCGAGCCAAATGTGGCATTTAGGAGGGCTCCTACAGCAAAATTGCTCTGTGCTGAAATGCTGGTTATAGCAGCACCAATGTAATAAGTAAGAGGAACAATACCAAACAAAGCCATAAGGCATTTAAAAACGGGAGAAATAAAGTCATTGGTGTCAACAAAGCCTATTACTAAAGCAGCAATAACTAACAATAACAAGTTAACTAAAATAACATTCATACCGTCTACAGTGTATTTGTAGTAATAAATATTTAGTGATTGGTGTGTGTACATTATGATCTCGCCGTTTCGTCGTATATTGTCTTTGGGGATAACATTGGAGTTGCAGATATCAATATGTTCCGGGGGGAGGAACAACACCTTTCTGATGGTCTTGCTGTTGATTTTGGCAATAGGAATGGTTATGACTAACAGCCAGGTAACAATAAAGACGAGTATATGACACACCATGAGGATAGGTACTCCAAGGAGGAACCAGAGATAGGTTTTGGGTTTGTACCAATACTTCCATCTTTCATTCGCCAACTGGGCAGACCTGCTTTTTTTCAGCAGACTCGTACGTTCGTTCGGTTGACGTTCACCGTCTTCCATATTTCGATTGTTTTCTTCGCGAACTTCAGCTGACAATTCCAGAGGGGGTGGAGTATCGACAAGATGAACGAAGAAGCCGAACGGCCAGAGAAAATAGCGCGCCATTTTTAGACAGAAAAACCCATAGGATCTTCCGAAGTAGGTAAGGAACATGACGACGGCGATCAGGGCATAGATTAGGGCCAGCCACCAACCAATAAACAATACATAGAGGATGTTGCTGGGCCTAACCGTGGAGACTCGGACGGGGAGCACAGATTTGTTGATATCGCTGTACAGATCCTGAACAATCTCGGAACGATTTTCGACCGGTCGAGTCGAAATATGACTTTTCCATTTCTTAAATCCAAACAGGTAATTATTTGAAATCCTGTGCGCTTCGACGTCGTCCGGGATGATAGTGAAAGCATCGTCCGTAGACAGGGATGTGTGGATCTCGATACTGCTACCGCCGTGACCCGTGGGACTCGGCGGTGCGCTTCTGTGATGTGTCACAATCGGGGCTGGCATATCTGAGACGACAAATGGAGATGTTAACTCCTTCGGTTGACCGTCGCTGTCCATTTTTTTCTTTTTAATTTGGTATTTTCTCCTTTTTTTAGATTAAAAAAAAATGACTTATCAAACAAACGACTCTTATTTTTTCACTTTAGAGCTGAGTCACAGGTAGAGAGAAAGAGACCCAACAACATAAATAGAAGCAGCGACTAAAAACCACTGTATGCGCCTGATACGTCACCGTCTGAATGAAAGCGATGTCACATTCACTCTGGTCTCTTAATTTAAAAAAAGAACTATCATTATTGTGAGTGCTGCATTGTCAACAATTGCTTTGTCAGTGGTCATATGCCGTCCTCCCATCTCCGTTAATGGAGACAGACAGACAACAGAATAACACATGACCACGTGACATAAACCGGAAGTTTGCTTTTTTTTTTTCATACGTAAATACATCACGTGACCAAAAACCAAACCGGGTGCTTTCAAAATGGCTAGGGATCAAAACCGGCAGTGTTTATTCAGATTTTCTGTAATTTTTTTTAGTATTATTATATGACTCTATATTTATTTAATTTTAAATAGAGTTTTAAAATGTACTATAATGATAAAAACATATCACTTAGGCAACCTTTGTGTTTAAAATTAATATAAACTACTGCGCGCGGTAACGAAAGGGATGTTTTGAAATAATACAGTACACCTTATTTTTTCTAAAAAAAAACCTTTATCAATGTCTGTGTCTCTAATTTAAGTATTTTTTTTTCGAACATCGTTTTTTAAATTAATGTTGAAACATGTTTGTGCCTTGACATTTCATAAAAATGGTATTTTTCTGTTTAAAAATAATTGCAATATTCTTCCGTTGTAATTAAAAAAATCAAAAAATCAATTTCACTTTTAAACTCATGTCTCGGTTTTTGGTTAAATAATTTTGAAAAAAATCTAAAGTTTATTCTTTTTTTAATTATTCATTTACAAGATTTTAAAATAAATTAAATTATCTATCACTTCTTTTACAAAATTAATTTTTTTTAATAATACACTCGTTTGAATAATTATTTAAATTATTTTCTTAGTACTGCAGCTTTTTCTGACTACAAATTCAATTTGTTTAGATTTTTTAGTCCATTTCGTTTTTTTCTTTTTTTATACTTCTTTCTTTAAATACTGAGTTGTTTTTCCCATTTTTGTTAAAGCTTGGATTTTCATTGATAAATTCGGCTTTTTTGTCGCATGTTACGTAAGACAAAAAGCCGGATTTAAAGGGAAATTTTTGTTCAAAATTACATTTTTTTCCCCGATTTATTAACTAAATTAGTCAATCCTTGCTGCCACTTTTTCCTTGTCAATTCCGACTGTCGCTAAAATATTACTGAATGCATGAAGAGAGAAATAAAATTTAACTTTGGTATATAAAAATTAAAAACTTAGAGAGAGCTCATCGTGAGGTTGGCATTTTTTCATGACAACAAAACAAGCACAGACATGACGAAACTTTGAAACAATTGTCACTTTAGGGCAGGCGCCCTGTGCGTCTATTAATTGTTGGCGTGTAATTTGTTTTTATACTTACTCTCTACAGGTTTCTACAGATGCACGTATATCGTATTTTTCGGAATATAAGACGCACCTTTTTTTTAAGACAAAATTTGGATTATTTAACTAAAATCATTTCTATTAAAACTTAAAGCTGATACTTAATGCATTATTGTTCTAAAATACAAAAGCCCTCAATTTATTATTCTTATAAAAATGACGCATTCAAATGAAATTTATGCACACCTATTTAAAAATATATATATAAAGATTTACTAAGCGTTACTTACATGTGCCACAAGGCTGGAAGAATAGAGCACCAAGTGAAGGTCAAACTCAGTACTTTTAGTCATCATTTTTAGCAAGACAAGTCTGTAGTGGTAAGCATAAACCACGATGAAGGAAGTGCTCAAATATATTTGCACATGTTTTTTTAAGTCTATATATATATTGCACATGGTATAAGGTAATGAAGGGTTTAGTAATCCGTATGGATAATTCCAAAGAGGATGTAAGCCAGAGAGCTCAATGTAACAACAGAGCAATAATTAATTAAATTAAGAAACAGACAACCTTAAGGTTCCATGACTATAATTTATTTCCCCAGAAAATATATTTTCCTGGTTCATCAGGTCACGTCTCTAGTTAAGGTATTTGGTTAACAAATTTACATATTTTTTTATTTTTAATACAAGTTTTTGAGGGATAGTTTTAGGTTGATGTGAGGTGACAGAGGGGGTAGGAGGGGGAGTACCATAGAATGATCTAAATTAGAAATGGAAGGTAAATATAGGGTTGTGTTTAAATCCATCTTTATTAAGTTACGTATATATATAGTACAAGCAATAAATCCGTTGGTCACGTATATATATGTACAGGTAATAGATCCGTTGATATATAATTCAGGTGAATCACAGTAATATCAGATATTAAAACTGATTCACAGAGAGAGCTCAATGTATTTATTATAACAGAGCATATACATTATAAAGCAAAAAAAAAAAAAAAAAAAAAAAAAAAACCTTATGTGGATATATAGTCTATTTGAAACCGGCGCAAACTTGTGCCAGTCCTCCTCAGCTCTGGACTGTGTTCGTCTCAAAATCAGGGGTTTGGAATTTAATTTAGATAGCAGTCAAGGACAAGGTACAGGGCTACCCCAAAAGAGCCTGAGTTGGTGATGAGGGGAGGGCGTGAATTATCTCTCTAAAGGGGAGGGGCCAGAATGGGAGTTTATTTATGGCCAAAGCTTTAAGTTGCATATAAAGAAATTTAGATTCCCTCTAAGGAATACCAAACTATACCAACAACAAATATGTCTTAATAGGATTAACAATAAATTGTATTTAGACAATTAATATAAAGAAAGAATAGAATTAAGGGTTTTCTATTATTAAGTAATGGGGGATTTAAAGACAAAACAATTTAAAGCTAGAATGAATTATCTAAGTAGCCTGTACCTTTTCCTCGATTGCTTGTTGTAGCCGCCGCTGACCGCTCCTAAACAAAACAAGTAAGACAACCTTGACCTTCACAGCCCTTTTACTCCCGGAACTGATTCAGCAGTTAATTAACAATTAAACAACTATCCTGATATATTTTGAGTCAGAAACATATCATTAAGGGAGTGCTAACCAGCATTCGACAGCATTTGTTGATTTTTATTATTATTATTATTATTTCGCGTTTTTTACTCCCAGTAGCAGGGAGTAGGTGTACAAACGTTATGACATAAATTTGGCCATTTTTCGACGAAAAACCAGTTTCTCGGACCAGAGGAGCGTATTTTTTTCTCCCAATTCGGAAAAGTTAGAGACATAGCAGCAGTGACTGGAAAAACGAGCATTGCAACTGGAGACAAGTTGTAAGTCACTTTGATCCGGAAGAACTTCACACAAGTCCCCGATATTCTAACATGCCAGGGACGTAGTATCTTGGTTGTGGTCGAAGGTCGTCGTCCCAATTGTTGGACCTGCAGTGCTATCGGACACGTATCTCGAGCGTGTACCGGAAAGAACCCGACGCAACCTACGGCACCAAAAACAGAAGAAGCTGCTAAGTAACAGTGGCGGAAGAAAAGTTTAGCCAAGCCCCCAGTAGCTCCGGTGAATGGACAAACGTGGCCAAAAAGTCGGTCGGTCATGTGCCGCCTCCTACTCCTCAGTGGGATGCCTCACCAAAGAAGGACTTCTCGTCTAAGAAACAGATGGCGAAGGAACACAAAGCACCGAAAGGAGAGCGGCAGAAGCAGCCCACAAAAGATAGGTAGACAGTAGCAGAAGACGGAGAAAGTGCAGGAGCAAGCCCTTTTACTCCCAGGGCTGGGTGTACATATAGAGGTAGATGAAAAACTTCCACCTCGGTCCCCCTCATTGAAAAGAGGAAGGGACGAGGAAGAGGAAGGAGACTCGGAGGTCGCAAAAAAAAGATAGAAAATCCAGACGAAGAAGAGCGGAGAAGGATCTGATTGCAGCTCCCGTTTTGCCTTCCAGAGAGGATACTGAAAGACAAGGAGCCCCCTCTTTCTCCCCTTCTAGGGCTCCGTCTTCTCCATCTTCCTCTGCCAACCCAATTCAAGAGAAAGAGGAAAAAGAAAAAAAGAAAGAAAAAGACTGGTCCAAGTGGGAAATACTTTGTATGGTTGACAAGCAAGCTCTCGAGATGGACTTTTCTCCTCAGTAGCGGGCCCTCTTGAGGTCACTGTTTAAGTGCACTTCGTGGACGGAAAGTCCGCGAAAGATCCTCGCAACTTCCCCAAAGCCACTGGAGTAATCTCACTCTTAAGGAACACGGGTGGCAGTATGTGGGACTACCTGCCGAAGAATGCATTTCGAACATTATGATGGTCAAGACGGAGTCACCTGAACTGAAGAAATTGTCAAATTTTTGCTGGGGGGGGGGGGCTGTGTTGCTCCATCCCTCCTTATATAGGGCAATAAAACTAACTTTCCCGGCGGACGTTGGCGTTATTGTCCTGAACGGTCAAATTACGACCGATATCGGAACTGGTTGCATAGGACAATCCGTCGGGGGGCCCGACCCCCATAGATTTACGTCCAGTCTGCCTTTTAGGGACGTCCTAAAAACGACTTGTTAGATGTCGATTAAGCTAGCTAGCTTGAATGCTTTGTGATTTCAGGTCGTCCTTTGGAGTGGACGTGGCCGCGATCCAGAAGACACACTTTGTTTGCAACTTCGATACACGTGTGCTGTCTAGCGAATTCGTCGTTTATTCAGCATACGGGGACTGACAAGTCTTGTTAGTCAAACGTTCCCTGGGGGTGGGAATAGACCTTGTTCATGTGGTCGCAGAGGGCCGGTTGATCGTGGCTGATATTGCCGTGAACAGTTGTTCGTTTAGGGTTGTTGCGGTGTATGCGACCAACGATCAGGAGGAGCATGTCGACTTGCTGGTTGATTCGTCGCGCTTAGTCAATGGGGGACTGGATGCCATCCTGGACCCCAAGATAGATATGGAGCGGGGAGCTAGCGGGAAGGCATCAGCCGATCGGAGATTGGTTGATCTGATCGGCGAGCTTAGGCTCGTCGATAGATACCGGGTCGATCATCCGCAGCGGGAGATGTGGACGTGTGCTCTTAGTTGGCTGAGGTAGCCATCTATCTTGGCAGAATGTTAGTGAGAAAGGTCCAGCTAGATTTACTAGATTATCCCACGTTCCACCGTTTAGACTATTCGAACCATAGACTCGTCTGTGCCCGGATAGTGTTAGGTCCTAGGCCCAGAATAGCTGGACATTGGAAGTTCAATCAGTCCTTACTTGACAGGCAGGAATTTTAACAACAGCTGATTGGAGTAGTGCAGCGGGAATTAGTGGGACGGTGGTGGGAGAGGCTTAAGGGTAGGATTGGGTCCTTCACCACTAAATACAGGCAACGACTCGCTCTAGATAAGGCTGAAAAGGTGAAGGCTCTAGAAGACAGTCTGTCCCATGCAGTGGCTGGGAGGATTCCCTAGAGATAGCTTTAGCTAGGCAGGCCCTGAAGCGTGAGGCTAGCAAGCGCTACCAGGATCAGGTGGTTTAGACGAAGGTTAAAAAAGATGTCTAACGAGGCTGCGAATATGGGCGCAGAACTGCGCAAGAATGAGATCCATCGAGGTTCCGATCGATTCATTACCCCGGACGGGGTCGACCAAAGGACATGTGCGAGGCTTTTCGGCGGCATTTCGAGAGCCGTTTTACCAAGGAGCCTGGTCTCAGTGGCGATGAGTTTTGCAGCTATTTGGTTGACTTTCCTCGGCTTTCGCTGACTGAAGGAGCTAGCTGCGAGGGTGAGATCACGGAGGGCGAAGTTCACTTGGCATTGAAGAGGGTCGGTAGTGGCAAGTCTCCAGGACATGATGGTCTACCCTATGAAATGTACTTGAGGCTGTCGCACATCTTTGTTCCGATTTTGACAGTGGTGTTCAACAACTGGTTTTGGCAGAGGTCCATCCCCAACCGGATTCCCAGTGTGTTGGGCGAGATTCAGACGATTATAGGCCTATAACTCTGCTAAACAAAGTTAAAGATTTTGGCAAAGATCCTGACGTTGCATTTGCAGTCAGTTGTCGCGAGCTTGTTGGGATCTGAGCAGATTTGTGCTGTGAGGGGACGAACAATTCAAAGCAACCTGCATCTGATCCTCAGGATCATAGAGGGTGTTAAAGTTGACGAGTAAGCCGCGCTGATTTAGATCAGTCCAAGGCATTCGATAAGGTAGACCATCGATACCTGTCGGCCGGACCCGGCTTCTGCAAGTGGATTAGCCTCCTGTATCGCTCCCCAGTGCTGTGGTACAAGTGAACGGAAGGCGGTCGGATTATCCGCTGTCAACCCTTACTTTAAGTTTGGGCGTTGGAGCCTCTCCTTCACAGGTTGAGGGACGGGGCGTGAAGTCTGGCCCTACGCGGAATTGTAGTTCCTTGGTGAAGCTCGAGCCAGGGTTTCTGCGTACGCTGATGGCGTAACCTGTGTTGTGCCTGGAAGGCGAGCGCACTTTCGGGGCTCTTTAGTTGGACTGATGGATCTGTACGCATTCTCGGAATGTGGTTCGGGCCCGAACTCCAGCTGAAGAAGAATTGGTCATCGGTACAGGCAAAGGTCGGAGCGTTGGTCCGGATTTGGCTGCGAATGAGGTTGTCTTTCAATGGTAGAACTGAGGCATGTACCATACCTTTCATCCCTTACCGCTTGGCTGTACTTCCTCTTTGCAGGCGCCGTTGATAGGCGATCGAGCGTTTGTTGACCAACCTCTTGTCGGGGTGTTGGTGTCTCGCAAGCACTGGGCCTGTAAAGAAGCCTGTTATCAGCGTCCGTGTTATGGGAAGCTGGGATTGCCACACCTGGCAAGTTATCGACACGCTTCTAGGTTGGCTTTCCTACGTCGCGTTTTGACGGGGAATCGATTTTGGCGCTGAGTGTTAGGGACACCTTCCCTTGCCTTACCATCACTCCTCACATTTCTTGGGGTAAGCGCCGCGGCGGTTGTGGAAAAATTTCGAGTTTCCTCAGTGAGTGTCGGTCGGCCTTAAAGGCCATTCCTAAGTCCAGTGACTTTTCTCAGCCTCGGAAACTATTGTATCATGAATTAGTGGAGGGGGTCGCGAAGGATCCTCTGTGTGACCGGTTCACCTTGTCGGCATCAGATTTGCGCTCCTTCTGGACTTGGACGCCAGCGGCAAATTATCTCAGCAACCCTGTGTTTTCGTTTAGCTGGCAATTGATTCGGAACGTGCTACCTCTCAATGACGTACTCTTCAGACAGGATAAGACAGATCTGCCAGACTTTCATCGGGGTGACCTTGGCTTATAGGAAACGGCTTTGCACGCCTTCTACCATTGTCCTCAGGTGCGGCCTTTTTGGGATTATGTTGGCGATTTGAAGGCTCGTATCGCGCCCGATCGGCTCGTGTCCATCGATCTCACGTACGTGTGTGACAATGTTTCGCCCCCGTTCTCCGGGTTAAAACGGATGGTGTTTTTGAGGTTGCTCGCCGTGGCAAGAATGATGGTGTGGGTAGCGCGAGAGGAGGGAACCTTGCGAGATGATCGTTATTCGCATCAGGATCTGGTTCTTTAAGCATCGGCTTAGAGTAAAAATCAGGCCTGATCGAAAGCATCATTTATTTTTACACTCCCCATTCCACAAGTGTGCTTCTTTTTTCTGTCTGTCGACAGAATACAGCTGCCTCTCTCACCAATGTGATGGGTGGATGAGTCATAAAATTTGTTTCAATTTTGATTTGATTTTTTTTGTTTTCGGGTTTTATCCCCCCCTCATTTTGTCGGAGTTAGCTCCTCCTTAATTCCCTAATTGTTCACTAGGGGTCGCTCTCCCTACACTATAAATACTTGGCAACTTCTTGCCTCGTTCTCTTTTTCATTTCTTCATTTCAGCCAACACCTCTACAATGTGACCTTTGCAAAAGATAGCGTCTTCCCATTTGCGGGAAGACGTCATGAACATTATACACACATATACACATACGTACGAACATTCACCAAAGAGCAAACACAAATGTTCACACACCCACGCAAATGTTATTGTCTATGTCCATTGTAAAATTGTGTTGTTTAATACATATATTTGTTTATTATTATATATATATATATATATATATATATATATATATATATATATATATATATATATATCAGTCTTGCTTGTCTTCTTTACATCTTCAGTTGGACTCAACTTGAGACCGCCATGTTCTTGTATCTGGACCTTCTTATAGCAGGAAATAAACAGCATGTGTTCCTAATTCAACAACACGTAAACCCAAAGGTCCTCTACAATTTTATCAATCATGGAATTTTCTTATATTTATTGGATTTTCCTCAAATATTTATCTCATGGGGTGTTTTGCAAGCCCCTCCCCCCCTGTAAACATGTGACACTTTCGTGTCTGCAGGATTCAGTGGGGGATGGATAAGTTCTTGTGGTGAATGAGTAAATTGTATTGTATGAATGAATCGTGAATATGATTAACTAGAACTTGGATAGCTAATGAAGACTATCCCTCCTTCACCCCTTCGGACTTGTGCCATAATTTCTGTATAATCGGAAATAAATAACAGATCTGCAGTGTAGTATCTGTGCGCTGTGTAAATTTACCGAATTTTCCGGGTACCAAACATTTGGCATAAATGGTTCAAACTTATGAATTTAGAAAAATTCGGTAACGGAAGATTCGCTAATTTTGACAAGGAAGGAAAATTCGGTAACTTAGATTGAAAATTTGATTTTACGGCGGTTCTGGAGTTGGAATTTGGGAGTTAAGTCCCCCCTTCCTCTAAATTTTTATATAACTGAGAATCGTGGGATCCAGATAAAAACCCGCCCCAACAATAGCAGGGCCATACTTGCAGAAGGGAGCGCTTAGGAACCTAGGCTTGCTTCCCCAATATTCTTTTAAAAAGTATTATTACCAATGGGGGTGTAAAGACCCCCCCCCCCCCACTGCAACAATATCAGCTTTGTAATGTCCGGAAAGGTGGTTTAGGGAGCTAATTTATATACGTTAAAAAATAAATTAAAATTTTATTTCAGGACAAAAGTATCATTTCAGGCCAAGAATCAATTTTATTCAACATTTGGACGAATATTGAGGGAAATAAACGAGAAAATCAAACGGAAGTTATTACCCGTAAATATTTCATTTAGTTCTTAATAATATTCTTTAAATAATAATAATAATAATAATAATAATAATAATAATAATGCCAAAATTGTGTACAAAAGTAAATTGTCAGTAAATTAAAAAGAAAACATTGATTTATTTATTCATTGAGCAATAAAAAGTTAAAAGAGTGGGCATAATAAGGTATATTAACTTACGAAAAGAGGTAAAGGATTGGTTTTTAAAATTTCCTAATAAATAATTTTTCATTATTAATTAACTACCATTGCCTAAAGAAGTAACATCTTAGTACTGAAACATGAAAGTTTTTGTGTAGTGATGGAAAATGTTTTTATTGTAATTTATTATAATAAAAATATATCACATAGAGTACTGGTGTTAATAAAACTGTGCTCGATGTAATATAACAGAGCTATTTTAATTTTATTATTTTAATTTTTAATGTAAATTACTATTTATTTTGAATATATATAAATTCTTCTTTTTTGTTTTTAAATAAAAATAAGTAATGTCCCTTTAATTAAAAAAAAATTTTAAAAATGAATAATTTAAAATTTTTTCTTTTCTTTTTTTTACATATATATAATTCCCGCTTATTCTAATTGCTAAATATAATTTAAAAAAAAAAAATTAAAAAAACTGTAATGCCAGCCTAATATATAACTACGCCAATATTGTGATAACCAGATATATTATAAATCAAAATTGTGTAACGATAAGTCTATACTCAGCCTCAGCACCTGAAGATTGTGTCGCACATGAAACTCCATATCATGCTAGCTATTGAGGGATATATATATATATATATATATATATATATATATATATATATATATATATATATATATATATATTTATATATATATATAAAAGAAAGAGGTTGTAGTGGTTCTAACGAGAGAAAAGTATGTATATTAAAAAGAAGAGAAGAGAGGTGCCGCAAACGTTTTTGGTTGTAATGTATTTTTTTAGAAAAAAATATTATGCTTTATTTTCCATAATTTTACTACACGTGTTTCTGGTCTCGTGACCGTCTTCAGGTAAAAGCGGAGATTTCCACATTATTAAAAATAATTCATTTTTTCCTTATGTTTTTCAATGTTAAATATTCTCGATATGAGACATTCTCTGTTTTTGTGTTAGTAATCTTTCTTGAATTGGCAATGAAGAGTTCTGCGCGAAGAGTCATAAAACAATTAAGGTTGGTCCAAGCGAAATGATGAATTACTTATCGGCATTTTATATTTTAATGTTTTACCGACCCCTATGTGTTCTTGGATCTGTTTCCATTTTCGTGTGTTTCTGTCAGCATGCGTGTATATAGGCGTGCGTATATTCCCCCTCCATACATATACTGTCTTACTATGAGGAATTAGTAAACTCATTTGTACACATATGCACATACATACACATACGCACATACACACCGTCCGACCACAAGGAATCAGTACATACACACACTTACATACACACACACATACACACATATACTTCTCAAGCTACATGGAACCAGTATACACACACACACACACATACTTCTCAAGCTACATGGAACCAGTATATACACACACACACACACACACACACACACACACACACATATATATATATATATATATATATATATATATATATTACTTTCAGCGTATATGATGCAAACAAATTTTAGGGTAAAACATGTCTTAAACACTAAGAAAAGTTCTATGAAATTGTTATATACCTATGTACCTATGAACACTAATGGGTATGTCCCAATCCCCATAGATACGTTGGAAACTATCGTAAGGGGGGGGGTAATATGCTGTTAAAGTAGTCCATAACTAACAGTGGTTTACCTACTACACGCCGCTGGCGAGTATTGTATTTTGTTTATGCTAAAGATTACGATTTCATTTCCAACCTCCGTTTTGGTTATTCCTCATTCAGTAACCCTTTCTAGGCTACAACAGAAATAACGTGTAGTTCTCTGAAAATTGTAATTATTGTTGTTTCTGCTTAAACTATAAATTTAGCTTAGTCTGACACAAGGCCTTAAGTATGAGGCACTTACTCAATACTGAAATCCACACAAACACAACAGTAGTTGGTGTGTTGAATTCTCACTGACAATAATTATAGTGAAGCACACAAGTTTTTTTTAAAATTTAAATGTCCATTGTTTAGGAATAATGGTCACTTTCTGGATAATGCACTTACTGAGTGCAAAACCACCATTTTGAGCGCATCAAGTGAGAACCAGACTCACTACACGCATCAGTAATGAACAGCGAGATCGTTAACCATTACTCTATGTTATTTCCAGTTAATGTAAAAGCAAATGAGTGGATATGAAATTACAAATGATTAATTTGTATGTAACTGTGTGAACACGTATCTAGAAAAATAAGAAAAAAAGGAAAAGTTGATAGTTGTTATTTACAAAATTTGGATTAGTTTGACACAAGGCCACTAGTATCGGTACACAGTGAGGGTTGAACTCACTACTCAATAGCAATGGGCAAGCTTGCTAATGCCAAGAAACCAACAAAAATTCACCGTTGAAGAGAGGGAAAACTTGCCAATGGCTACACTCAACAAACTCAACCAGGAATTTTGTTGTAATATAATCGTTAACAAGTCCATCAAGTTGATCACTACCACTGAGTAGTGAGTTTGACTCTCACTAGGTGTCTGACAGTTGAGACCTAAATTTAGTAAAAAAAAAAAAAAAAAAAAAGCAACACATTCTCTTAGATACCTTATTGTGCAGTAATGGTTAACGAGTTAATCTTGGTGACCATTACTAGTTAGTGAGTTTCACGCTTAAAACCAAACTAGGTTAAGTTTAGTAAAAAAGAAAAACAATATATTCTCTTATATGCCTCATTACAGAGTAATGTTAAGAAGCTAGTCTGCTTGACCATTACTACAGTGTATTGGGTTTGAACCTCACTAGGTGCCTCATACTTGAGGTTTTGTACCAAACTAGGCTAAGCTTAGTAAAAAAAACAAATTATATTTTCTTATAGGCATCCTTGTGGAGTAAGGATTTAGAAGCTAGTTTAGTTGACCATTATCACTGATTAGTGAGTTCAACCCTCACCGAGTGCCCTATATAAGTAATCGGTAAAATGGATATTGCATGTAACTTGAAGATACAACATCAAATAATTGGAAAATAAGCCATCAAAACTGGAGAGAGTGATAACAACTAATGGGCTTGAGAAACCTGTTTTCCTAAGAATTTCTTTTAAGTGAAAGATTTTATCAAATTTCGACCAACAACAACACCGGCTGCTCTATTAATGAAAGTTGAATGTTTCCTTATAAAGAAAAGGCTAATATTACTATTTACCATCAGAGATGAGGTGAACAGATACTACACTTTGATCCCAGCCTGATGACCAAGGAGTGAAGAAAAGCATAACTCAAGTAGCACTGGCTGCTTGGTCAATGAATGCTGAAAGTTTCCTTATAAGGAAATGACTAATGTTACCATTACCACCTTTGATATATCTTGTACCATCCTTTTTTTTTTTTTTTTGGTTAGCGTAAAACTTTGAACCTCATATCTATGAAATGTTCCACTTGAAAAGATAGTAAGAATTTAAATATAGACACAGCATGACCCCTGACCCCTGGACTTATGGTGAGTGGGACAAGATAAAATTTCAATATTTTATTCTGAGCAGATAGAAAAAAAGATTAACTGTTGAACAAATGAAAGACTTGCCAATGGTTACGTACAAACTCAAATGAGCACCTTGTTGTGCGGTAATGGTAAAAAAACTAATCTGGTTGACCATTATTACAGTGTAGTGAGTTTAATCCTCACTAGGTGTCCAGTACTTAAGATCTTGTGCCAAACTAGACTAAGCTAATAAAAATCAAATTATATCCTCTTAGATGCCACATTGTTGGGTAATGGTTAACAAGTTACTATAGTTGACCATTACTAGTGAAAAGTGAGTTTGACCCTCACTATGTGCCCCATACTTGAGGCCTATCACCAAACTAGGCTAAGCTTAGCGAAAAATAACTCATATTCGCTTAGATACCTCATTGTAGAGTAATGGTTAACAAGCTGCAATGGTTTACCATTACCGATGAATAGTGAATTCAAGCCACACTGTGTACCTCATACTTGAAACCTGGCATCAGTTTAAACTAAGCTTGGTAAAAAAACAAGTTATACTCTCTTAAATATCTCATTGTGTGGTAATAGAAATGGTAATGTTAGCCATTTCCCTACAAGGAAACATTTATAACACCTTTTACTGCCACCACACAAGGTGGTGTAAACATGTTTCGTGGTCCGGTCCGCAGAGACATAGGGCGACGTTTTAACCACAAGGCTAACTCTGCACTAATCTACGTTGTGTTCTTGTTCTCAGAGCAGTAGAAGGTTGAATGTCATACTAATCACAGCGCTGGTTCAATATCTTCACAATGAATAAAAGAAACTAAAGATTCAGGAGTTAATCCTTAATTGGTTTATATAGCTATTGGTACAACACAATTTAAC